ACTGTTTGTATTGTGCTTTAATTTTTTAATTTAATTTATAATTTAATTTTATCAAAAGTTTTATAATTATATTTTACTTTTATTAAGATAAATAAATTAAAATTACTCACTTTATAAAAAATTATATTTGATAATTTAGTAATTTTATGGATCTATTATTAATAATTATAATACATTTCACTTTTGTCTTAAGACTTATCTTTGGCTTATATTCCATTTCTTAAAAAACATATATATATAAATGCTTTTTTCCAAAAATGTATAAATTATGATGAATAGTTTTATAAAAAAATATAAACTTTTACATTCTTTCTTTCAAATTATTGTTTAAGATATATGCATATATTTTTGAGGGTCAGGGAGTGGGAGGAGGACTAAGGGGGATATTTTTTATTAGCCTAAAATGATATTCACAAAAAATGATAAATTTCTGAAGGAGGGAGAATTTCCCCTTGCCCCCACCCTGGCTACGCCTATGCCTGACCCGAACACTGAACCCGGGTTCTTTTCAAATTTATTCCTGTACCCGAACCCGGACCTGTACCCCTTTTTTTTGTCGAAGGGTTCACATCCCTGCTTTTTAATGATTACATAATATTTACTAATTATAAAATACTTACAATACAAAAAAAAGAAAATTCAACACTCTATATTAAACTATCAATATCTAAACTAAAAATTTAAATAATTAAATAATAGCTTATAACATCTTAACAAAAGAAAAATAGAATAATAAATTTTGTATTTGGAAGAAAAAGTTTTTTCATTTTTCCTTCTTACCTTTTCTATACAACTCATAACTTTCATCTCAAATACGATAATAGGATAGGATATACTTACTCATTTTGTTATATTACAGGCGAGTTACGAGGTTTGTTGGTATCCTTAAGAAAAAAATAGCCACAATTATATGAAGGGTTAGCCTTCATCAGCGTCTACATCACAGGATTTTCACTGGATGCAAATCCCCTTCAAAAATCTTTGCCTACCCCCCTAAAAAAATCTCGCCGTCTTCGGCGGAGGTGATTCCCAATTATTATTTTTACCTTTTTTATTTATTGATACTCTTTTCAGAGACTTTATAAAGGATAACTTAAATTCAGGGATCCAAACCGAACCTGAACTGAACCGTTAAACCACTAAAAACCGGTATTTTTATCAAACCCAAACCGAACCTAAACCTCTAAAAAATTTCTAGCCGAACCTGAACCAAACCACTAAAATGCCTCTGAACCAGTTCGAGTGGTTCGGGTCCGCTTTATATACTCTTAAAAATATCAAAAAGACAAATAAGCTAAAATGGCTGTCAAAATGGCCCCTATAAGTTTGAAGCGAGAGATTTAAAAAATATCAAAAATTTGAATTTTACAGATTAGATAGTTTTTTCTATTTAAGTATTTAATATTAAATTAATATCATTATAAATTTTATAATCAAATATTTAATATAATTATATAATTAATATTAAAATCATTTATTATAAATTTTAATAAATATATAATTATATAAAGAAAAATATATAAATTGTATTAATATAAATTTTAATAAGTATATAATTGTAATATTTAACATAATATATTATTAATATAATATTTAAAGAAATTAATTTAATATAAATAAAAATATATAAATTGTATTAATATAAATTTTAGTAATATATAATTATAAATTTTAGTAATATATAATTATAATATTTAATATGATTTAATTATAATATAATAATTAATATTATTAACATAATTAATATATAATTAAAATAGTATAATTTATATTATATATTTATAATATTATTTACATATTTTATATATTTATAATATTATTTATCTATTTAATATAATTTATTTATAATTCAATATTATATATAATACAATATGGTTAATATTACTAGGAACTCCATTAATAAAATTTTTATAGTAGAGATTTATACTTATTATTCCTATAAATATCAGATTAACTCATATTTTAATTTTTTTTAGATTTCTAATGATTAATGGGAATATGTTAATCTCTTTTCCTACTAGGAACTCCATTAATAAAATTTTTATCGTAGAGATTTATACTTATTATTCCTATAAATATCAGATTTACTCATATTTTAATTTTTTTTTAGATTTCTAATGATTAATGGGAATATGTTAATCTCTTTTCCTACTAGGAACTTCATTAATAAAATTTTTATCGTAGAGATTTATACTTATTATTCCTATAAATATCAGATTTACTCATATTTTAACTTTTAGATTTCTAAGGATTAATGGGAATATGTTAATCTCTTTTCCTACTAGGAACTCCATTAATAAAATTTTTATAATAGAGATTTATACTTATTATTCCTATAAATATCAGATTTACTCATATTTTAATTTTTTTTCTAGATTTCGAATGATTAATGGGAATATGTTAATCTCTTTTCCTATTAGGAACTCCATTAAAAAAATATTTATCGTAGAGATTTATACTTATTATTCCTATAAATATCAGATTAACTCATATTTTAATTTTTTTTTAGATTTCTAATGATTAATGGGAATATGTTAATCTCTTTTCCTACTAGGAACTCCATTAATAAAATTATTATCGTAGAGATTTATACTTATTATTCCTATAAATATCAGATTTACTCATATTTTAACTTTTAGGTTTCTAATGATTAATGGGAATATGTTAATCTCTTTTCCTACTAGGAACTCCATTAATAAAATTTTTATCGTAGAGATTTATACTTATTATTCCTATAAATATCAGATTTACTCATATTTTAACTTTTAGATTTCTAATGATTAATGGGAATATGTTAATCTCTTTTCCTACTAGGAACTCCATTAATAAAATTTTTATAGTAGAGATTTATACTTATTATTCCTATAAATATCAGATTAACTCATATTTTAATTTTTTTTTAGATTTCTAATGATTAATGGGAATATGTTAATCTCTTTTCCTACTAGGAACTCCATTAATAAAATTTTTATCGTAGAGATTACTTATTATTCCTATAAATATCAGATTTACTCATATTTTAATTTTTTTTTAGATTTCTAATGATTAATGGGGATATGTTAATCTCTTTTCCTACTAGGAACTCCATTAATAAAATTTTTATCGTAAAGATTTATACTTATTATTTCTATAAATATCAGATTTACTCATATTTTAACTTTTAGATTTCTAATGATTAATGGGAATATGTTAATCTCTTTTCCTACTAGGAACTCCATTAACAAAATTTTTATCATAGAGATTTATACTTATTATTCCTATAAATCAGATTTATTCATATTTTAATTTTTTTTCTAGATTTCTAATGATTAATGGGAATATGTTAATCTCTTTTCCTATTAGGAACTCCATTAAAAAAATTTTTATCGTAGAGATTTATATTTATTATTCCTATAAATATCAGATTTACTCATATTTTAATTTATTTTTAGATTTCTATTGATTAATGGGAATATGTTAATCTCTTTTCCAACTAGGAACTCCATTAATAAAATTTTTATCGTAGAGATTTATACTTATTATTCCTGTAAATATCAGTTTTACTCATATTTTAACTTTTAGATTTCTAATGATTAATGGGAATATGTTAATCTCTTTTCCTACTAAAAACTCCATTAATAAAATTTTTATCGTAGAGATTTATACTTATTATTCCTATAAATATCAGATTTAGTCATATTTTAATTTTTTTTTAGATTTCTAATGATTAATGGGAATATGTTAATCTCTTTTTCTACTAGGACCATTAATAAAATTTTTAACATAGGGATTTATACTTGTTATTCCTATAAATATGAGATTTATTTTGTTAGAGCTATTTATCATACGTATTTATTCATATAAATGTCGGATTACTTAGATATTACTTAAAAATATTGTTAAAAGGCTCGATTTGAGTCGAGTTTTTAAAAACGGCTAACTCAAATTTTGGCTAGCAAAATATTGACTAAGCCTCGAGATTTAGCTAATAGATGCCAAAGTGTTGTTAAACGGCTTGTTTTGAGCCATTTTTAAAAACGGCTAACTCAATACTTCATCCAGAAAAATATTACCCAAGCTGGAAGATTTTGCTCATAGAAGGAACAAGGGTCTACACATATATTATAGAAATCTTGAGGTTTAAGCAATATTTTTCTGGCTAAAATATTGAGTTAGCCGTTTTTAAAAATCGGCTCAAAACGTGCCGTTTAACAACACTATGCCAAACCTTTATGCCACCTCTGAGCAAGGTCTGCTGGCTTGCCTAATATTTTTTCAGCCGTTTTAATCGAGCCGTTTAACAACATTACTTATAAAAAATATGATATAATGAATAAGCATGCATGTTGTAAGAATAATGAAATATAAGCCTAACAATTTTATTATTACTTTTGCAATTATATCATTGGTATATATAAATATTATTAATGTGATTGATAAATATTATTATTGTGATTGATAAATATAAAATAATGATTGCAATTGTATAATAATGCTATATAAAATAATGATTGCAATTTATATATCAATAGTATATAAATTTATATTTATTGAGACTATATATTGATGAAGGTATATAAAATAAAGATTGCAATTTGCATATCAATTATAAAATTATTTTTATTAAGACTGTATATTGATGGTGGTGTATAAATATTTGTATATATTGCAATTGAATATTAATTGTATAGAAAATGATGATTACAATTTGTATATCAATAGGTGGTATATAAAATAATGATTGCAATTTGTATTTCAATAGTAATATATAAAATTATGGTAATTACTTTTTGCATATCAATATTATATAAAATGGTGTAAATTTGGTATAAAAAGCATTAAAAAATGAAAATTTTAACAGCATGATCATAATATTGATAAAGAGTGATGTGAATTTTTAGGTAAAAACCTAATAATTAATAAATATCTATGTAAGCATCAATGACATTTGTCATTGGTATGCATATAATAGTTTTCTCTATTTTGAGAATATAAATAATTATTAGAAAATAGTAGATTTTTATTAAATTTAGATTTTATAAATTTATATTGGGCATTTTGCTTTAAAAAAATTAATTGATTTATTGAATAATCATAATTTCCAGATAAAACTAGTAGCATATTTTAAATTTTCTTTGGTTGGTTGGAGTTCCTGAATGGATTATATCAAGTGATGCTAAGATTAAAATTTCCAGGTTAACAAGATAGCATATTTTAAATTTACTTTGGTTGGTTGGAGTTCCTGAATAAATTATATCAAGTGATGCTAAGATTAAAATTTCCAGGTTTACAAGATAGCATATTTTAAATTTACTTTTGTTGGTTGGAGTTCCTGAATGGATTATATCAAGTGATGCTAAGATTAAAATTTTCAGGTTAACAAGATAGCATATTTTAAATTTACCTTGATTAGTTGGAGTTCCTGAATGGATTATATCAAGTGATGTTAAGATTAAAATTTCCAGGTTAACAAGATAGCATATTTTAAATTTACCTTGATTAGTTGGAGTTCCTGAATGGATTATCAATTGATGCTAAGATTAAAATTTCCAGGTTAACAAGATAGCATATTTTAAAGGATTATCAAAATTTCCAGGTTAACAAGATAGCATATTAGTAATATATTCTAAGAAGAAAATTTCCAGGTTAACAAGATAGCATAATAGTAATATATTCTATAATTTACCTGGGTTGGTTATGGTCTCAAATGATTATATGTCATTGTGCTGGAGAAAATATCAGCTTGTTAAATTGAGCATACAAATTTTAAGCTTAAGAAAAATTTAGCAAAAAGTCACGCGACAAAACATCAAAACACAAAAAAAAAGTATATCATGCGGCACGATACGAGTTCGAGTCTCATAATTTTATGCTTACAAAATAATGTGTAAGTTGTTACTAGTAGTATATTGCAAAATTTTTAATTATATTCAAATTGTTTTAAAAATTATTAATAATCACATTTGATTGATAAACGTCAGTCATAATTTTTATAAACGTTTGTATATTGCCATTTTACAACATTTTTTAAATATTTTAAGCGATTATTATTTCTCAGCTTGTAAAAAAATATAAAAATTTGATTGAGTAATTTTATGTGGTTTTTCGTCTGCGGGAAAATGGCTGATGTTAAATCGCACCTCCAAGAAATAATGATATCTATCAATTCTACGAATACTTCTATCACTCACAATTTCATTTTCAAGCACACTATATTCCTTAAATATTTACTTTGCGACTACATACATTTTTTATGACATGAAAAGCCTGACTTCTACTCTTCTGAATCAAAACTCTAGTAAATTCTTTCAAATGCATGGAAGATGTTTGGGAGAGTAATGAGACTCTTTTTTAATTGCTGAGGATTATACATAACACATAATATATCTCTGTCAAGTTATTACTTTTATTCATTAATTTTTTATTTTTTCTAGATTCAAAGAAATAAATTCTCTTCTTTATTTACTAATTTATCTCAATCAATTCATCATAACTTAATTCTTTCTTATCTTCTTCAATTCTTTACCTAAGCTACTATAAAGTTTAGCAAGTACCATTATAAATCAATTATTTATTTCCTTTAACAATTTATTTTTTCTATATATTAATCTTATTAACTTAATTTAAACAAAATAATATAAATCAACATTTAATATAATTACAACTTCTTTCTTAAACAAAATTTAACTTTAATCCTCTCTTAAAACTCAATTTCATGGATATTTTCTTATTCATCATTTCTCTTGTCTGCTTTTTGCTTTTTCAATTTTCCAAGTATCGTCTGCTTGTTTTTTTCCCCATTTTTTTCTATTTCAAAATTCAAATTTATCTTACAATTTACTTTAAAATTTATATTATGTCAATTTTCAAAAATCTAACAATCTACTCCTACAACATTCCTGGCCTACTTTCAAAAACAACTATACTTAGGAAACTCCTTGATCAATATGATATTAACATTATTTTAACACAAGAATCTCTTATTACCAATAATATAAAAAAAAAAAAATAGAAAACAAAACAAAAAAAAAAAGAGAAAACAAAAATAAATAAATTACAAATTATAAAAACTAACTCTTCTTCCTTTACTCCTTCAACCCCCCCGCCTCCTTTCTTCTAATACATATTCCTATCTTATCTTATAATAAAAAACATTATTTACAATGTGGATCCTGGCTTATCCACGAGTGGTACCCGTCATCCCACTCAAATTAAATGGGACCCTGACAGTAGGGTAAATTACTGTCAACTTTGTGGATCCTGGCTTATCCACGAGTGGTACCCGTCATCCCACTCAAATTAAACGGGACCCAGACAGTAGGGTAAATTTTCTGCCAAACGGTGAATGCAAATTCACTGCACTGGAGACGCCCTCTAAGGGGTGGTGGAGTGCCCACTTAATTGTGGGATGTCTCCCCAGTGTATAATATGATATGATATGATTTTAAGCTTATAAATTATAATACCTAGAAAAAAATTAAATCTAATATATAAATTATTTACATATAGTATTATAAATGACACATCAAATGTGATATCATACTGGCAATGCCAGCTACCCAAGTTAGAGTGAAAAGATGTTTTTCAACAATTAAATTTATTTTATCTCCTTATAGATGTAATTTGAGTGAGACGAATTTTGAAAATATATTAATTGTGCGGCTTAATAAAAAATTTTTAAGTAATTGTTCTTATTAAAATAATTCATTGATACATTTATTTGTTATATTTATAAATTAAATATTATTTTAAATGTGCAATTAATAAAAATGAAGGTTTTTATTTTAATTATGAAATAAAAAAAAATTTCCTTATACATAATCCTAAAGTAGGTTTGAATGCAAAAATGTTCAAACCGGTTTTTAGATGTTCGAACTGAACCGATATTTTTATTTTTTGCGAACCTAACCTGAACCTTGAACCGTTATTTTTATCCGAACCTGAACCGAACCAATATTCGTTTCGGTTTGGATCCCTGCTTAAATTAATCTATCTCTACTACGAACTATCGATATTTTGTGAATATAAAGAATTTATTTTTTAGATAATAAATTCAATTAAAACCTCCATTATTTAAAATGAATTAATTATTATGGCATTATGAGCTTGCTGAAATATGGCATTATGAGCATGCTGAAATATCTAGACCTTTTAAATTACATTAAAAAAGATAGCAGAAAGTTTTATTTGGAAACGTGAATGATTGTTTGCAATATATAGATTTGGTAGATGAATTGTATTATAATATTTCTATGATAAAAGTATTAATTTTTACAGCAATAAATTTTGTCCTATTATCATCTCAAAATTTAATAGATAATCCCAAAAAAATTTATCCTACCCCCATTAAAGCAGCCTATCCCCTACCCCCCTTAAAAAATAGGATGCGAATTGTTCCTACCCCTCCCGCTCATATAGACGCTGGCCTTCATTCATAGAATTTAAGTTCGCTCACTTTGGGCTGGTCTATGACCAACGTGCTAAATAAGATAAGATATTTTATACATCTATTCATTATGGGCAGTCAATCTTCAACAATACCCAATGTTGAAGAAGATGCAATGATGCCTTTAGAAGTTTTTAATTTACATATTGCTGTTATGCAAAATGATCCTAAAACTGTTAGAAATCTTGGGAATTTAGGCGTGAATCTAAATTCTACTTGGAAGAATCATAAATATCCCAGTGTTAAAGATGGTACCACAGCTCTCTGTCAAGCTATATCATTAAATCATAAACTCGTTGTTAATGTAATATTTTTATATTTTAATAATTTTAAATATTTGATCAGGCACTTTTAAATTTAGATGTTGATATAAATAAATGTGATTCCTTTGGTTATACACCTTTGCACAAAGCTTCATACCATTCTCGTTATGATTTAGCTACAATTCTTATTAACAAAGGTTATATAAATATGTATATTTAAAGATAAATATTATGTATATTTTAATATAAAATATTGCTCTATACTAATATCAGGATTAACCATCTATACCAGTTTAACTTGGGTTGTGCAACTTTATTTTAAATTAAAAATCTGTTCATCTAAATTGAATTATAATATATAAAGGGGAAACCTAAATAAGCCAATCTATTAAGCTGAGTATATAAAATATTTCTGAGAATAAAAACTATATGATTTTAAAAATATTGTCAAAATATATTTTGCAGCAAAATTTAAAGAGGGGATCTTTTAGATCTTGCTCTATTTTGTAGCTTAAGATATGCAAAAGATAATTATTTTAGAAATAAATTTTTCTATACATCTGAATTCTTGGTATAAAGATCATAGAAAGACATGTTTAGGGTATATTAATCCTGATTCCTAACTTTAAGACAAAGTCTTAATTCATTAACTAATCTATCTCTTAATATAAACAAATAAATATTTTTTATACATACTATCTCATGCTTGTAACATATGGAGTATGATCTATATTTTATTAGATAATAATTTATAATTAAATTGATATTCTACAAAAAATATAGTATATATTAGAATAGAATTATCAATATATTGCATTTCCCCTTTATTAATTTATAAAATATTCAATTATTATTTGTTGGATATAAGAATTTTAATTTAAAGGAATAATGTTCCACCATCAAATTTTATTTTTTATATCTTTGTCTTGTATTATTATTATCTTTCTGTCTGATAGGATAAGATTAAGAATGATTTGAATAAGAATAAGGTTTCCAAATACATCTATGGATCATCTCATTTGAACATTTTACTGTTTATTTTTTACCTTTATTTTATTTTTTTATTTTATATTTTTTTTAAAAATTTTATAGTAACACATCAGATTTCCCCTTTTAAAACATGAATTATACTCCTAAATTAAAATTTTGAATATCTTGAATCCATTATTTGTAATTTTCATTTTTTTATTTATCAATTTTTACTTCATTTTGAATTTTTTTTTTAACTGTTAATTACTTTTTTTAAACATATTTACTTTTCCTTTATTATTTACTATTTTTTTTTATTCTCCTTTGTATTTTATTAATTATTAAATCAGTTATTTCTGATTATATCAATCTATTTTCATTTATAAATTTTTACTTTTTTAAAATTTTTAATTTATCACCCCATGAATTTCTGGAATTAAATTTAAAATTATTTTATCAATCATTGCCCAATTCTTATTTGTTCATTTCGATAGATTTATTGTCGATTTATGCTCATTTTATTTTATTTTATAATTTCCAATTTTTCATTTTTTTATAACTACATTTACATTCTTTCAGATTTTATTTTATCATAATGTCTATTTTTCATTTTTTATGGGTTTTCCATATTTTTCATTTTTACTCCACTTTTTTTCATCACCACTGTATGGACATGGAGTAATAAAGATATTGAACTACATTTTATCATACAATAATATATAATTAAATTGATGTTCTATATACTAATATCAATATATTACAATGCTCATTTTCTCATCCCTACAAAAGTAGCACAGACTTAAGTCATCTAAATTAGAGGACTGCAATGGTCAGGTTTTAACCCAAAGGTCCACCTGCTAATGTTTAAAAATTATAACCCACCTGCATGCCCATGGTTTTTAAATAAAATTTTGACTTCCCATTCATTCATCTAAAAAGTCTGTTCACCTACTGTGCTGCTATCCCAATTTTTTAAAATTATTAGATTGGATAGTTTGACTTTATTTTGTACATTTGCCTAAAAAAATTTTAAAATCACCTATCTGCCTTTGTGCCCATTATTTTAAAAATAATTTTAACCAGCCAGACCACCCAATGTTTAAATTTTATAACCCACCCATTTACCTTTAATTTAGGTACCCATTGATGATACAGAGGTATATATAATAAATTAAATAGATCATTAAAAATATTATATACATCGTAGTAAACACAATCTTCCTTTAATGCTATACAAAAAGGTAGAGCTACATTTGAACTATCTCATCCCATCTAATAGGGTTAAAGAACTGGGGAGGGGTGACCTATGAGATAAGCCCACCCACAGTTGTTGGACAGGCTGCAGTTGTCTGTGCACGCAAGAGCCAATACCCCTTACTTAAATGCTTATGGGAAGTAAGAAAGGAAAAAACCTATACTAATTAAACAATGTATTAATTATGGGAGGGTATTGGCTGCTTTTAAGTTCTGTATGACATAATTGATATTGAATTTTATTTAAGTTTTAAAAGGAACTTGCCTTATTATCTTAAATACATTAGCTAAGAAAGAAACAAAGAGGATAAGGTGAGTATGTTGTTGGATAATTACACATGAATGCTTAGGTAAATAAGGAATATTATAATTAAATAAGGATTATAATTAAATAAGGATTATAATTAAATTATAAAGATGTTTAACAAGGGTGGATAATAAAGGGATTCATAAGGTGGAATGGATAGGTTTGATGGGTTGAGATATGGATTTAATTTTTAGAAGTTTTTTAATTGAGTTTTTATTGTTGCTTATGAGTAGTGTTGTTAAACGGCTTGATTTGAGCCCATTTTTAAAAACGGCTAACTCAACATTATAGCTAGGAAAATATTGCCTAAGCTTCGAGATTTCACCAATAGATGTTCAATCCTATGTGCCATCTATGAGCAAAATCTTTAGGCTTGCATAATATTTTTCTGGATAAAATATTGAGTTAGCCGTTTTTAAAAATCGGCTCAAATTGAGCCGTTTAACAACACTACTTATGAGTATAAATTTATCCATCATCAGGTTTAGGCTTACAATGTCTTTAATTGTTTGTAGAGCCAGTATGATTTAATATTTTCCATAATTTTTTCCTTTATAGGTCTGGAGCTAAATGATTGCTTCATTAACTATATTTTGTCTAAAGTTCCTAATTGTATGGCCAAATAGTTGTATTTATCTCTTTTTGAGAGTTGTTTCGAAATACGTCTCATGGTATTTGAGATTATTCTTGGGTGTTGCTGTCACAGATAATTTTTATGTTGAATATACGAAGTCTCATTTTGACTGAGATCTCGTGCCAGCCATAATTTATGGTATTTTATGAAAGTTATATTAGCATTTTTTAGGATGGCTTCAATTTCGTCACTGTATTCCCTTTATTATTAATTTTTGCATCGAGATATTTGAAGTTAGTAACTCTTTAATCTCATTATTTTTAAATGTTATATTATTATCAATAGATGCTTCCGGGGATGCCATTACTACTGTTTTATAAGTTGATGGTTAGGTTAGTTTTATTGCCATGGAAGAAAATACTTGTTAGTAAGTCAATTGTCTCATCTTTTGATTAGTGTTGTTAAAAGGCTTATTTTGAGCCTATTTTTTTAAAAGGCTAACTCAATATTTTAGCCAGAAAAATATTGCCTAAGACTTGAGATTTCGACAATATATGCCAAGACCTTTGTTCCTTCTATGGGCAAAATCTTCAAGCTAGCGTAATATTTTTCTGGAAGAAATATTGAGTTAGCCGTTTTTAAAAATAAACGAGCCGTTTAACAACACTACTTACGAGACGATTCTTAAGTAATTGTTATTGTTGTTGTTAGATGCCGGATCTATTAGATTCATGGTGTTTGTTGTTTCTTTTATGATTTTTTTGTTGATTAGATTGAAGAGAATGGGGGAGAACACACAGACCTGCTTGACACCCCTTTATTATGAAGTATGCTGAAAATAGTTGTCCTACTTACAGGCTGACGAAAGAATTATTGTAGTGGTATTTTAGGATATTTATTATAATTTGATCTATGCCATTTTTCTCCAAAGTGTTTTAGAGAGCATCATACCTGACATTGTCGAAGGCTTTCCTAAAGTCGAGGAATGTGAAGAAAAAGGTAGCTTATATCTAAAGCATTTCTGTAGATGGATTTTTAGGGGTATGATAGGCCCGTTGATACTTTTCTCTGGCCTGTAGGGGCAGATGTTACCTATTAGGAGATTTTTGGTAGAGGCAAAGATTCTACCTTTTTGAAAGACTCTAGTGTTAAGGGTAATAGCTCTTTGATCTTCAAAGGTTGAGAGATGCTATTTTTTGGGATTGCAAATTTTTGATTTCTTCCAGTCATCGGGAGTCTTTCGATAACCATATTTTCGTGAAACTGACTAGTAGGTATTTAGAAATTATTTCTGAAGCGACTTTTATATGATCATTCCTGATGCCATCAGAGCCAGGCTCTATTGTTTTTTAGTTTATTTATGGCTTTCTTAATTTTTACGGGGAGAATTTAGAGTGTGTTGTTGCCAATCCTGGCTGTTGAAAGCCCGCTATCTTAGAAAGTTTGAAGACCGACATTTAGAAATCAGCCCAAATCTCCATATGCTCTTCTTGGTTCTTTATATTTGTTTCTCCCATGTAAGAATATGGGTAATTTTTTGGAGCATGCCGGTCTACAAAAGTGTAGAAGTGTCTTATAGGCATCATGAGTTTTGTTGTTTCTCATGTCTAATTTTATTTCTTCTGCTTTCTTCAGAAAGATGCTTCTATCACTGCGTAACAATCTCTGAATACGTCTCCATAACTCCAGATTTCTGTTGTTATTTTTTTATAGATAATATCATCTTTTGGTTTCTGCTGAGAGCCATTCTCTTCTTGGTCTGGCTATGATTTAAATTGTTACAAGCGCGGAAGATTACACAGTTGAATTCTGACAAGTATTCCTTTAATGATTTAGTAGGGAAAGTATGGATTATTTTAGCTATGTTTATCATTTTATGCTATTTTTAAATCTTATGCTATTAAGTTAGTGAGGTGCCATTGGGGATTTGTTTTGGGGCTGTATGCGATGTGCTATAGATACGTCTGGTATTGTTATTCCTCCTCTCATCACTTTATATCCTGATATATTCTTTAATCAGTCTATGGTTTGTAGGGTAGCCTTCACATCTGCAAACCAGCTATGTACATTAGATATAAAAAGGTTAATTTGAGAGGAGTGGCCACCAGGTCATGAGGTGAGGAAGTTTGTCTTTAAACTTTAAAATATGTGTTTTCGATTTTCAGATTTAGATAAAAATCGGAAGGTCGAAAACAAATATTTTAAACACAAACTCCCTCATCTTATGACCTTCTCACGATGTGGCTATTCCTCTCAAATTGACCTCTTTCTATCTAATGCCCAAAGTTGGCTTGTAGAATGAAAGCCATTTTTTATATAAATATCTCAGACCATGTAGTGATCAAAGGACACATCATAATATGAAGTGATGAGTGGAGGAATAACAACACAGACGCACTTTTAATAACATACAGCTCCAAAACAAATTCCCAAATGGTACTTCACAGGTATAAACGCATCAGTTAAAAATAGCGTATTACGACATAATTAGCACAAACTTAGTTTAGACAATCCGCTCTTTCCCTACCAAATCAGTCAAAGAATGCTGGTCGGACTTCAAACTCATTGTCTTCTTTGCATATAACAGTCTATCACAGTCGGGTACAATGGTTCTCGACCAAAAATATGATATTATTTATAAAAAAAGACAGCAGCTGGAAACTGGATCTATGGAGACTACCACGCAGTGATCGGAGAATTTTTCTAGCAAAAGGGCCGAAGGAATAGAAATAGCGACGCTTAAGAAGCTCAGACACTTCTGTAAACCGGCATACTTTTAAAAAATTACCTAACTTACCATACATGGGAGAAACCCATATTTAGACCCCGAAGAGCATATAGCTATTTGGACTGAGTTTTACATGTCAGTCTTCGAATTAAGAATCCCTTCAAAAATATCGGACTTGCAACAGCAGGCTCGACACCATCACCTTCTGAATTCTCCCTCATAGAAATTAAGAAAGCAATTAACAAACTAATAAACAACAAATCCTCTTGCTATTTGGAATGAACATATGAAAGCCGCCTCAACTGTGATAAATGAGATAAAAATATTATTTGATTGATAAGAAATATATATAGTGAGTTTACCATAATTTTCTATAAGATACTTGTCACCTTTTTAGCCAACTCTTTCAATAATTTAGAACCCTTAATGTTCCTAACAGTTTTCTTAATTAAAAAGTATTTTAACATGACCATAATTTTATATGCCCTATGGGCTTTGCATTATCCTGAAGCTCTTTGCGCTTAATAATTTTTAAATATTTTGGGCTAGCCTTTGGCATAAGTTTTTTTTAAAAATCGGACTGGATTGAAAATATAAAACCCGGGCAGTGCATCACCTCTGCAGGTCTATTTAAATAAAGATAAGCAAAGCTTTAAAACTTTGATTCAAAATCTAAAAATTTAATATATATTTCTTTCAATCAATTTTTTACATAGATAATAAATGGATTAAGGTTTATTTTTAACTAAAGTAGTAAATTTTAATATAATTTGTAAAAATATATAAAACAAAAAATAATTTTAAATAATTTTTCTAAATATAAAACAAAAAATAATTTTATGTATATTTAAAATAATAATGTGCCAACTTGCGGACTTAATATTATAGAATTGTATTCTTAGATTTAAATTATTGTAAATATAATTATATTAAAAGAATTAAAAAATCTATTAATAGATCGGATGAAATATAATTATTAATTTATATAACCTTAATATTGAATATATCTAGTAATTTAATTTTTATATCATAAGAAAATGAATCTCAACTCAATTAATAGAGGATATAAAAATTTTTTTTACCTAAGCATTTACGGTTTAACTGTAAAATGGATACACTAAAATAAAAAACGATTCCATGAAAAATGATTTTCACGAAAAATATTTTTAATATTGAAAATAAAAGAATGATTATTTAAAATATTTAATATTTTTTTTATTATATAAATATTTTACATGTTATTTTTTTGTAATTTTTATTTTTAAGTTCAAATTTTCTGAAATTTTAAAAATTAAAAAAAAATAGATTCAAGGTTCTGGTTTATTAAAAATCAGAGTTTGGGTTCACAGTTCTGGTAAAAATGTCTAGAAAATTAATTCAAGAAAAAATAAATAAAAATTCTTATTTTATATGAGAACTTTAAACAAGAAGTTAAAATCTTCTGCCCCCCCCATAGTTTTGCTATTGATCTATATTTTGACCTTTAATGTGTTCTTTCCATAAAATCTTTTTAAATTTTCTTAGGTGCTAATGTCCATTGCAAAGATCTTGAAGGTGATACACCATTACATATTTGTTGCAAAGTTGGAATAATTCATCCTACAATAAATTTAACAAAAATGGCTTCACTATTTATAGAATCGAGGGGTGGTATAATTTTACTCAACGATAAGAACAAAAAGGGTAAAACGCCACTTCATCTAGCTGCAGAATGGGGTCTACCTCACTTAGTTGAATTATTAATCCAATCAGGTTAATTGATATATCACATGTTAAAATATTAATTTAAAAATTAATATTTAGCTATTTTTAAATTTATGACATAAAGTAATTGAACAGTGTTTTACAATAACCCTTTTTTATTGTATTAACTTGTTGTTTGTTATCTAACTTAAATGTAAAGAAATATTTTTTAAAACCATCTTGAAATGAATTTTAATTAACTCAAAAACAAATAATGTAAAAGTTTAAAATAGATATTCTTTTAACTAATAGGTCTAGTTAAGAAGGTGAACCGGAAAACCCCCACTCTTGGCGAGTATTTTTAAATATCATTATTAGCCTAAATTAAAGAAATAGCCAGTATTGTCATAGTTTAAATAAAGACTTATTTTTTTATAGGTAGCAGAATTGACGCCCTCGACGTTTCATATCGTACTCCCCTGCATTGTTGCGCAGACACACTGCTCCATTATAATTCGCTAAGTAGTCGAAAATTGAATTTATTGGCCTTCGCGAATTGCGTCAAAATCTTTCTTATCAAAGGATGTGACCCTCTCAATTTGAGCCAAATGTTTTTTTCCCATCAAAGCAATTCGCCTCTCTTTTTTCAAAAGCCGATATTTTACAGGCCTAGTTGCAGTACCGACTCTAACGGATATCTGGGAGACATGATCGATTCCAACAGTTATGGATCATCATCGTATTTTAATAATAATATAGCGAATGTGGATGGAAACGTTGATCTAAATATGTCCGATGAATCGGAAACGATTCGAAGGTATTTATTGTTTGTTTCTTTGGAAAGAGAGTACTATCGAAAAAAATTTAAATTTTGTAATTATCTATTATATTGTATATCGGTCGAAGATTTGTCCAGGCCCATATTTTAAAATTTTTTTTTATTTCAAATAATTTTGGCTCTATTTTAGGTTATGGTCCACCCCTTCATATGAACATTTATGAAAAAAGTCAAATCACTTAAAATGACCACATATATTTGAAGCTACTATATTATTTTTAAACGATGTAACAGATTAGACAAATAAATTAAAATATACTTTTTATTTTAAATATAAATAAAGATGGCTAAATTAATTATAAATTAAATATAAAAGAATATAATAGTAATTAATAAAGAAAATATATTAAATATTATATTAATTATATATAAAATAGCTTATATTTTTTTATTAATACAAGAAGAGTATATAATAAAAAAATAATAATTAATAAAGATAATATATTAAATATTATATTAATTATATATTAAAAGTTGATTACATTATTTCATTAATACGGTATGTATTAAAAAATAATATTAATTGCAATGATAAAATAAATAAGCAATCAATTGAGAATAAACTAAATTATTATGATTCAGAAAATTTATATTATATTCAGATAATTTACTATATTTTGGCAAACTCTTAATAATTTATAACAGACAGCACAATTATATTATAAATATATCTTTGATATAATATTAATAAAATTTATATCATGTATCTAATAATATAAATTTGAATTATGTAAAAATGCAATCACTTTTTTTGCATAATAAAGTATAAATTGAATTAAAATTAATTTGATAATTCATTTTCATTAATAATATCTAATGATTATTTAGATATTATGTGATAAAATATTTTATAATAAATTAAGGAGCTTTTATTTTGTAATATAATACAATATATATTAAGTTATTTATATGAATTTAAATTGGAGTTTTAATTTGATAATATGTGGTAAAATATTTATATCTAAAATTAGAATATTTAAGATTAATTACTAATCAAAACTATCTACTTTGGATTGGTTTGCAAGTTTCTAAATGTTTTATGGTGATGCTAAATTCAGTAACAGTAAGTTTAGCTCTTCTTCCGCATTTTCTTCTACAGGTTTAATAGATTGCTTTCTTTCCAGGTTTATGCAACACATGATCATATCCTCCATAAAATATACAATCTTTATTTTGTCTAGTTTTCTAAAAAAATAAATTATTATATGTAAAAATTAACATATACTTTAATTTCTAATTAAGCTTTGATATTTGTTGTGATTTCTCTCCAACCTCTTGATCTTTATAGTTACCTCAATTAGCTGACAATATGGGCAATCCAATCTTTGGTAATCCTGGCCATTTTATGGGGAATCTAGTGGCCATTTAATAAAAATTTATCAATACAACAAATAACTTATTTCATAAAAAAAATACGAACTAGAGGGACGAATGGAAGATATGATTATGTGTTGCATAAACCTGGCAAGAAAGCAATCTATTACGAGAAGAAAATGCGGAGGAAGAGCTAAACTTACTGTTACTGAATTTAGCATCACCATAAAACATTTAGAAACTTGCAAACCAATCCAAAGTAGATAGTTTTGATTAGTAATTAATCTTAAATATTCTAATTTTAGATATAAATATTTTACCACATATTATCAAATTAAAACTCCAATTTAAATTCATATAAATAACTTAATATATATTGTATTATATTACAAAATAAAAGCTCCTTAATTTATTATAAAATATTTTATCACATAATATCTAAATAATCATTAGATATTATTAATGAAAATGAGTTATCAAATTAATTTTAATTCAATTTATACTTTATTATGCAAAAAAAGTGATTGCATTTTTATATAATTCAAATTTATATTACTAGATATATGATATAAATTTTATAATATTATATCAAAGATATATTTATAATACAATTATGCTGTCTGCTATATATTAACCAGATACCTGCAGAGGTACCATTTGCACGGCCCGGCCCGGTTTTAAATTTTTTAGGCCCGGCCCGGATTTAAAATTTCAGGCCAGGCTCGGAATTTTTTAAAATTATATTCGACCTGGTATATACAAAAATTCACCTATGAGGTATTTTACCATATTTTTCAGCGAGTATTATCGCTTATTATTTAAAAAATGCATGTAAAAAGCTAATATTTTGAGAATATTATATTGAATTTATAAAAATTATAAAACTGTTATTTATAAAAATGGATATTTTGAGCATATACTATATTTTATATTGCATTTATAAAAATAAAACTAATATTCATAAAAATGGTAATAATATTTGTCATATACTATATTTTATATTACATTTAAAAAAAATAAAACTAATATTTAATTTATAAAAATGGGAAATATTTTGAGAATATAATATATTGTATTTAATTTACTATTTAATTTATAAAATAAAAATAAATCGCTATTTAAAAAAATGCATGTATAATAAATAGTATTTTGAAAATATAATCTAATTGCACAATATTAATATATTTTATTTTATAATATAAATTTTTAACAAAAGAAGATAATTGTATTATATAATATTGTAAAAAAAAATAATGAAAAATGTTGGATTAAAAACTTTCATGACTCAAGGTAAATATAATAAATGCAATAAATATTTGACAGTTTGCAAAGTAAAAAACCAGCATGATTGACAAAACCTTATACTCAAGAAAGATATTAAAAATTCACAAATTATCATGAAGAAAGAGAAGCATATCTACCTTTTCAGGTTAAAGATTACTTCTTCTTTCTTCAAGAATTCTCCCAGTAGTGAAAAAATTCCGCTCACAGCTTGCACTTAAAGCAGGAATTGCCAATTTTGCTAAAATTGGAAATTCGCTTTGATGAGCCGCCCACCACTCTAACAAATTATCCACCTTAAATGTTTTATCTATTATTATGTAATTATAATATTCATCATCGGGTATTGACATATTACCAGAATTACCATCGCCCCATTTGTCATAAAACGATTCAGTTTGTTTAACAACAGTCGTAATTTGACTGGTCGATGGTATTTTATTTACTTCCTGAGCCTCTTGTAATTTAATATAATCTTTTATATAGTTTTCCGTCATTTTGCGATCTGTCCCTGACTACATACGTAATTGCTTGAATTTGGGACAGAGAAAAAGAAAAATAAAATGATACTTGTGTAAAACAAATTTTTCAATTAAAAAATGCTTTATATTAAGTAAAATCAATTACAAACTTTAAGAAGTGATAATCCTTTATTTGATTGTTTTGGTAAAATATATTCTAAAAATTTAGATATGAATTATAAAAAAATATATTAATAATACTTGAATATTGGGGCTTATTTAAGATATTCCTTTATTTGATTGTTTTGGTAAAATATGTTGTAAAAATTTAGATATGAATTATAAAAAAATATATTTATACTTTGAATAAATTTGCAGGAAATTAATAATTAGATCGATCTGTGGGTTGTTAGGTAGTGTTAACCATCACCCAATATTATATTAATCATAACTATAATATAATATAATCTTATAAGTATAACCATTAACTCATAATGTAAAAATTTTTATAAAAAATATTAAGGCCCGGTATGGCCCGGGTTTAACAATCTTAAGCCCGGCCCGGATATATTAAAAAAAAATTTTTTTAGGCCCGGCCTGGATATGTTTAAAAAAAATTTTTTTAGGCCCGGCTCGGGTATATTTAAAAAATTTTTTGTAGGCCCAGCTCGGGTATATTTAAAAAATTTAAAATACGGCCCGGCCCTGCCCGGGCCGGGCTTGCAGGTCTCTGATATTAACAGATCTAGAGTATTAAGAGTTTGCTAAAATATTGTAAATTATCTGCAATTTATAATTTTGGATTGTAATATAAATTTTCTTATTTCTGAATCATTTTTTATATTTAATTTATAATTAATTTAACAATCTTTATTTATATTTTAATTTTATTTAAAATAAAAAGTATATTTTAATTTATTTGTCTTGTCACATCTTTTCAAAATAATACAAATAATATTCCTTCAAATTTATATGTGACCATTTTAGGTCAGACCTTTTTCATAAATGTTCATATGAAGGGGTGGACTCCAGTGTTGTTAAAAGCTACTTTTAAAAGTAGCGCGCTATCGCTACCGCTATTTTATAAAAAAAGTAGCGCGCTATCGCTACTGCTATCGTTTTCAAATGAGTAGCGCGCTATTAGCTACTTTTTACGCTACTTTGATTTTTTTTTAATATTTTTTTTTACATAACTTTATTTCCACAAATAAAATATTGATATAAAAACATGACTATAATTTGTTACATATATATATATAATTTATTTATTATTGCACTTTAATAATAATAACATTTCGGTACTGTCATCCCCAAGTCTAGAGCGACAATCAGAAAGTATAAGCTTTGCCATACTAAATAATCGTTCAGCACTAGCACTTGAGGGCAACGCAGTATTAAATTTAATAAACAAACTTTTTATATGAAAAAAATCATCAAAAATATTTAAATTAGTATTTTTAGATTTAAAAAAAGCATCTAGAAGTTAATTAAAAATACTTCAGTATATTCTTTAATAAAAGTATGCTCCTCCACATTAAAATACTGTATTCCCATTTGATCCAATATATAATTCATTTCCATTTTTTTCTCATCTAGAAACAATGCTAAAAGTTTCATAGCATTGTAAACACTATTCCATTTTGTAGTGTTTGGTGTCAATAAATAACGTCCTAATTTTTTTTTGAAAATATCAGACGTCTTTGATGACTTATTTTGTTTATTCCAAAGAGCTTGGCATTTAGAAAATAATCCTCATTTAATAATGCTTCTTCAGCATCCACTGTCGCAACTAAATTTAGGTTGTGGCAGGAACAACGATGATGGTAGGTAACATAGAAGACTTTATTGAAGATCCTAAATATTATAAATTTATTTTATATTGGTGAAAAATTAAATATAAAATAATTTAAAACCGAGGATGTCATGAACATCAATTATCTCAAACTCCATTTCATCATCCTCTACTTGTTCTCCATCTTCAATATTTTTGTCAGGAATATTACTAGTATTGTTATTATTATTATCTTCCCCAAATACTCTATATTATTTATATCATATTATAAAAAAATTATAATAAATTTAAAACCTGAAGCCTTCAGGAAATTAGACCCATTATCCGTAATCATCTTACAAACCTTGTTTTGAATTTTGTAAGACCTATGGATTTCTGCAATAATATTGGCTAGAATGTCATAAGTTTGACAGTCAATTATATTCTTTAGCTAACGCTACAGATTTTCGTTTAAGATTTTTAGGATCAATCCAATGTGCAGTTACTCCTCATTTTTACCTTCTATTGTGAGTCCATCAATCTGCCGTTGTACAGACGTAGGAGACATCTGATAGATTTAATATCAAAGATTCTTTCATTTCCTTAAAGCTCTCCAAAATTCTTGCCATCAATGTCTGCCGGCAAAATATCTTGGTCCGTGGAGAAATAGTGTTTATCATCTTTATAAAAGAATCATTATCCACCAAGGATAATGGTTGAACTGTATCTATTATAAAGTTCATAATGACTTTGTCAGCCAATTTTTGTGATACACCAGGTGTTGATGAATCCAAATTGGTTAATTTTGTTTGTATTAAATTTGATTTGGAAATGGGTTTATCTTCTTCCATTACCCCAAAACTTTTGAGATATTTTTCAATCTCTTTATAATTTGAAGTGTGCACAGTCTAAAATTATAAAATACTTAGAATAAAAATTATGTAGGAGATAAGTACATAAAAATGATTGAAATAACTATTTTAAAATGTTTTAAATAATTTAGATAAAATTTATGAATATATAAAAAAAATGATTGGTTTTTGATTTTAAATTATTTTAAAAATTAAAGATTAGCCTACACATTGATATTAAATTTGTTTAATATATTACATTTTAATGTTTTTTTCAAATTAAAGCTGCTCGTATGATTTGAAGAGATAATTTTGCGGCACATCTTGCACCGAAACCGATATCCAGTATTAATTTTTTCTTCAAGGTTAAAATATTTCTTGAATTTTTGGAAAGGATCATCTATATTTTGCTCATTTTCCAAAGAAATTTCAATATCTTCAACAATCTCACACATAATAAGATTTATAATGCTTAATATAAAATGTAAAATGAAATATAAAATAAGATAAAAGCTAGGATATACCAATAACGGAATTTCAAAAATATATAATTTAATGAATGCGCAAAATATAAATTAAATACAGATTGCTATTTAACAACTGTTTTTATCTAATATATAACAATAATGTATATTTTTAAATATAAATTTCAAAATTAAATTAAATAAAAGGATTATAATTTTAGATTTTATAAAAAATATATTTTAATAATTTTTAGATGTATTTATTATGTAAAATTGAAAGTAGCGAAGTAGCGCGCTATAGCTACCGCTACTGGTAGCGCGCTATTTTAACAACACTGGTGGACTCTAACCGTATTTTTATTCCCTTTATATGATTTTCCATTTGGTTAATTGATAAAATTAAAATAATTTTTTTAAGAATAATGGGTCTGGTCCGGGTTTTATTACAGATTTTTTTAGGCGCGACTCGGTTTGAATTGATTAATTTTAAGGCTGGCCTGGATTACAATTTTACGGGACGGGTTTCTGCGCAGGTTTCTGATAGATATAAAAATTTTAATTTTTATACTATTTTATTTTAACCACTTTTTTTTTACCTCAAAGCCACAATACTTTTTTGAATTCTATCCTGCAACCTACTCAACATTCGAACGTTCCTCTTCCCATGTCTTGCATTCGATCATTCATAGAAGGCCATTTAAAACGTAGTTTTAAAAGCTCTCATTCTAATTTAAATAACTTTATTGGGATAAATGCTATCAAAAAATCTCACATGTTGAACCCTCCTTTGGCTCATCTGATGATGAACGATCCTGAATTGTGGGAAGTATTAAGTCGGCACGTACCTCCTTCCCTTAGACATTCTTGCCGGGTTCTTATAAGATCGAGAGTTAATATGACTCAGGATAAATTTATTATAGCTGTTAATAAATATTTTAAAATACCCACAACTTTGAAGGAATATTTATTGCGAGTTCCGATATAATGTTTTTTATTATTAAATATATATATATATATGATTTTGGTTAACCCCTCATTTACCGTTAGTGCGAATTTGCATACTTTGCCACGAATTTGCGCTAACTGTGAATGCAGGGTAATGGGTTGGTGCAAATGCGAATTATTTACAATGTTATTGAAATGATAAGATTTTTATAATTTATCATAAAAATATGTAAAAAAATGTATTTTATGTTTGCAATAATTTATTAGAGTATAAATAATAATTTATTTATAAATAAAATATGTATGAATTATTTTTATAATCTTTTTTTTAAATGATAACATTTATACAATAACTTTTGTGTTGGAGTGCCTTTCAACAAAACTTGGCGGCTTAAAAATTAAGACCCATTTTTGAGATAAATTTTGATTGGAATTATATATTTATTGCATTGCAAATATTACAAAACCGATTTTAATTTCAAAAAAATAAATTAATTACGAAAATAGTGACAAATGGTAATTTGATTTATAAATGATAAGATCAAGAAAAGTCCTACCCATGTCAGTAATGTCGTTATGGGAGGAGACAGAGGGGCTCAAGCCTCCTTAATCCCTTTTTAAAATATTTTTCCTTTTGCTCATTTTAGATTGAATTACTTTTTTTTACAAATTTTAAATATAATTATATTTTTTGTTACTTATATCAGAAATTTTCGGGCCCCCTATAGTTGGTGGCTATATAACAGGGTTCCTCACAATTACGATTAGAAAGGAAATAATCGCAAATTACAATTCCTTAAAATAAAATACAATTATGAATTACTTTTATGAAATCGCAAAAATTCATAATTAAATACCAATTGCAAATAATAATGTATTTTTTGAGTAATGGGGATTGCCAATTACAATTATTTTTTATGATTAAAATTATATTATAAATAAAAGTTTTTAACAAAACTCTGTAAAATACATGATGTTAAATTATACACGAAACTCGTGATTAAATCAGTGAAGCTAGGGTGAGATTTAAATCTCAATTGCGATTTATATTATATATCACAATTATATAGGGACATGGGTAAAATAATTTAACCGATATATTTCGATGCAGCTCTATTCGAAAATACTTTTCAAAAAAAGTTACTATCGTTGAATTACTACGATATTCTTAAAAATACGTGCATGTAGGCTGAAGATTTTTTTGTATGTTGAATGAAGTCTTTAAATGAAGTTTATGAATAATTATCCTAGAAACAAAGCAAATTAAAACAATCTAGAATATTTAAAATAATGATTATTTGCTGTTAATCCAATCAATTAAATATAAAAATAATATCATTTAAGAATATTATATAAACAACATTTATGTAATATTAAGTCTGATGTATAAACGTATAAATAACCTAATTTTATAAATTAGGATCTTCTGGCAATTCATTTTTTAAAAATCGTTTATAATAAGTGCCATATATTTTAACCGTCTGAGAAAAAAGGTCCTAACCTGAACACGGGTTATAAAATCTAGCTCGACCCTGGGAACAATTTTGGAAAGGTTGATCCAGATCCGAGCAGGTGTCATAAAAATTTACCTTGATAAGATAAAAAATTGACTGCCACCTGGTTAAACCAGTTGAGCAAAACCATTATCAATGTCATTGAGCAGACGTAATAAAACTCATAAAGCAGATTATTGGCACATCTAATTATACACCAAGTTGTTTAAAAATCTATTATTTGTGGGGTAAATAAAATCGGCACTATTAATAATACTTACCTATTACAATGCAAAAGTTTTTATCGGGGTCAGAATTAAAATTTTCATTCTACCTCGTAAGAGTAAAATTGGCATAAAACTACTCTTAAATGATTAATAGTAAAGTAATTAAAAAAATTCACAAACGATTTCAAGCGTCACGAGACGAGATTGACATTTCAAGTATACTATCCGGAAATTTATATTCTATCAAATACTTAATATTTAAATGCGTTAAATGTTCTATGCACAAATTTAATATGATTATTTTTTTACGTATCTTCTGATTGGTCAATATTTACGTGAAGTATATCCAAACCTCTTCTTCCATTTTACGGTTGTTATAAAGCTTCCTCCAAACTATGTATATTAATTTTTCTCTTATCAACTATCTTATTTATTCTCGGATGCCCACTATATAGCATCCCCCAAACTATGTATCAATTTCTCTGGTATAATAAATCCCATTTTTATTTTCATAAATCAAAATAATTTAAATTGCTTCTATTTGATCCATTTAAATTTCTCGATAAGAAAGAAGAACATACAGGAATAAATTGTGAGAGGGCTGATCTTCGCAAATTTTTTAAAATTTTTAGCTCCCTTTTCAAATTATAAAAAGGGGTTGAGCTCCCTGACCAGGGTTGCCATGTCTCCCCCCCCCATCAGCGGGAGACTCCCGAAATTTTTTAGCATATATGCAGACATCTCTTTCCAGCAAAACTACCGCAATTGGAAATCTCCCGCAAAAATCTACAGCAATTTTTTAAAAAAAGTAGTTTTTAATATATATATAATAATTTTGAGAAACAGTAATTGATTATTTTAATATTTTTATTTTAAATATTTCGAAAAACATGTCTAATTTGTAAATTTCTTTTTATCCTGTTTTATTTTTATCCAATAATAAATCAACATCATTTCATTCATATAAGTTAGTACAGGGGAGTATATCGTATATATCGATTGCAATACAAAAATATTCTCCAAAAAAAATAAATAATACAGATGCAACTACAGCTGCGGAAATCGTATAAACCTATCATGTGGTTCAACATTCACAGAGCTATATCATTACAATGTTGGTCGAATCTTTTTCCCATGATATTTAATGACTCCAATATAAGTGCAAACCTTACTTGGTTTTAGTACCTGAATCCTAGAAATTCTAGACGATTTAAAGGATGGGCATCCATATGCAATTCTAACAGATGCATCTAATAAGGGAAATATTAAAACATTTCCCTTGATGCTTCGCTATTTCAACTAATAAGATCATTTCAATAAAACTGTTAAAAAATTTTTCCTCGGATAGTGAAAAATTCAACGATGTAGCTAACCACATAATGTAAATATAGCTGATTCAGGGTTATCAATGAATTTCATGTCAGCTATCCGCGCTGATAACGCCTCTGTTGGAATGGTGTGAGTTGTTGAGATATGTACCTATCAGGTGGTTATCATTAATACTTGCCATCGATAGAATTTTAAAATTTTACAAACGCTTAAAAAAATACTTAATAAATAAAGATTTTAAAAGCTGTCCTAAAATTTTGAAAAATTTTTTGGATTATGAAATGGCAGAAGCATATTTGGGATTAGTTTTACATGCAGGAAATCTACTTCATGCAGTTAATATTCAGTTGTAATCAGAATATTCTTTATTAATAAAGATTCACAAAATCATGCTACAGCTCTTTTCATCTCTACAGTTAAAAATTGATAATAAATTTTATGTCAATATTTCTAAAAATATTATATTAAAATGTTCAAATAATACTCTAATTATTACATTTTTAAATGAAACAGATATTTTTATTAAGACAATTTTAGAATATTTACAATTAAAATTTGATTTTAATAACTCTATTGACAAATGTATAAATATGACCTTGGAACAGAAACCATCAATTGATGGTTTTTGTAATTTAATAAATATATTAAAAATACTGAAAAACATTGATATCTTGTTTGAGGAGATTGTAATTCTCTCTATTTTTTATGATTAGCCAGAATATTTAAAGTTAGATGGTCTAAAAGAAGAGGAGAAATGGGTTGAATTTTTTCGTAATAACAATAAATCCCCATACTTGGTAAAAAAATGTGAGTATGTCTTCTTCTTACCTCATTCTAATGCCTCATCCGAGCGCATTTTTAGCCTGATGAGGACTGCCTGGAAAAAGGGGAGAAATCGGATTGCTTTAACAACATTAGAGGCCGAATGGTTAAACAAATTTATAATATGTCATGCCAGGAATTTTATAAATATCTCAATAACGACGGTAAACGTTTAGTTCCATTATTTAAATCTCAAATAAAATATAATTAACATTATAACTTTATTTAAGAAAATTTTTTTTAATGGTTTATAAAATTTTAAGATTCTATCGATGGCGGGTATTAGGAACATATCGCAACCAACATTGTGCTGACTCAATTCTGTAAATACACTCTGGTTTTTTCAAATTCACTGAGGCATTATCAGATCAGAAAGCTGACATGCAATTTATTGATAATCCCGAATCTGCTATATTTACTATTATATGGTTAACTATGTCTTTAAATTTTTTACTATTTAAGGGGAAAAATTTAATAATTTTCTTGAAACGTCCTTAATTTTGTATAAATAGCGAAGGATCAAGGGAAATATTTTTATATTTCCCTTATTAGATGCATATGTTAGAATTGCATATGTATGTCCATCTTTCAAATCGTCATGAATTGACCTCCTGAAGGTTCTACATTGATGATATCCTTGATCATTTTTGTTCTACAAGTAAAGTTTTCATTTATCTTGGAATCGTTAAATATAATGGGGAAAGATTCTACGCACATTGTAATGATAAGTAGCTCTTGAAATGTTTTACTACAAGATAAGTGATTACAATTGCCGCAACTGTAGTTGCATCTGTATTATTCTTATTTTTAAAGAATATTTTTGTTTTGTAATGAATGTAGATACACTCTCCTGCACTGATTATAATAATGAGACTGAACAATAATAAATAAAATAATTATCATTGAAATGAGTACAATATTACCTTATTATGTATTTAAACGTGATACGTGATAATTAAGCGCCTATCCCTATTATGTTATACACACACACAATGTAGATTTCCAATTGCGGATGTTTTGCGGGACATTCGCGTAAAATATATTTTTTACATTGTAAAATTAATATTGATTGTTTTTTTATAAAATTCCATCTTGTTTACATTTTTATATTTAAAAAGGATCGTTAGTTTTTTTTATAAATTAATATATTTTAATAAATCAATATTTTATTTTATTTTGAAAAATAGTTACCGACATTGTATTTATATAAACTAATTAGAAAAAATAAAGGCGGATAATTAAGTCAATTCTAAATCCCTGCCGAAGGCCAGCACTTTGAGGGCCTTCGGGCCGCAAATTTTTTTTAGCAATTTTTATATTTCTACAGCAATTTTCATATTTCTCCCGCAAAATACCAAATTTCTTCCGCAATTTGAAAATTTTGACCTGGCAACCCTGTCCCGACTAAAAATTTTAATATTTTTTAAAAGTGAATTTTTATAAGTCAAAAATATAATTTTTCATAGCCACATGCAATGTTGTTAATGGCTAGGCTACTAGGAAGGGTGGCGCAGGGGCTCGAGCCCCCTGAAAAATTTAAATAGCCCTCTGAAGCAAAAAAAATTTTTTTTAATGGCTCCTTAATATCCCCTTGAACTAAAAATAAATTTTTTTGATTGCCCTCTGAATGATTTC